TTTATTATTGATATTAATTAAATCAAAAAATATATATTAATAACATTAAGAAACTGAATATATTGTAATAATATTATAATAATAAAGCGCATTAAACAAAATTATACTAAATGTAACTTAATAACAATCATAGTAACAATCATAGAAAAAGTTAAATTTAAATATATTCATATTGACAATATTGTTAAAAGATAAATGCATCGAAATATACAAGAAACGCCCGAAAAATCAATCAACAACAGTAGGAAATTAAAAGAGTATATGAAAGTAGCAAATGAAATATTAAAAAGAATCATAAAAAATTATTAAAATTTAAACATAATAAAAGAAAAACAATATATTGTTTTAAAATTACAAGATTTTGAAAACTTACCAGCTTCCAAGATCTCGAGATCCAGATTCCCACTCCGGCTATGACTGATACTACTACTGCATGCATTGTAAGTAGATCTATGAGAGTCCTCCATCGCGCGGGAGGCACTGCGTTTGAACTGTTCCAAAAAACTGTCTATTTGATTTTCAATACTGGTCGGCGAGCTAGCCATCTTTTTGCGCGCCACTCCTCAGTAAATGTCAACGTGCTAGAGATGGAAATGGAATTGATCTCATGGAGTTGCAGTTTTACAACTGCCACGACGATTTCGTTCTAAAAGATTAGCTACATTTTACAATGTCAAACTATTTGCACTAAAATTTGAAGAATTATAGCGCACAAGCGAACAAATCGCTTTAATTTCGTTCACTATCGTATCGTCTCCCGCTACACGATACATGTTTATTTGTGTTGAGCAACGCCCGGAACTAAACGCATCGTTTACTGCAATATTTTCGCGATAGATGTCGCGAACAGCTATCAGATTTACAATATTAATTATTAAATGCTATTGTATTGCATTTGTTTATTATAACTCTAATTTTTATTCAATTTATGTGTAAGATAAATGATTAAATTTTTTATTTTATCTATTTTTTAAATATACTTTACATATTTTTATTTGTCTAATATATTATTAGATATAGAGAAAGATATATAAAGATATATTAAAAATTTTTCTTTAATATGAAAATTTTATGTAAAATTTTGTAAATAAATTTAAAATAAAATTAAAGTAAAATATAAATTCTTTTAATTATAAATTATAAATTTATTAAATATATCCAAAAATGATTAAAAAAATGATCACGATCATTTATCAATTCAAAACATTTATCGTTTTAAAATTTGGATTTTAACCAAATTGGAGTATTCCAATATAATCACAAGATAATTAATAGTATGTCTATATGTTAAAATAAAAATAAATATCATAAAATCTATCATATATTTTGTTCATGGTAGTAGTAATAATATCTGCAGAATCTTCAGTCGATAATATAGAATAAGTACTGAGTAGTAAGAGTGGGGAGAGCGATGTGACATGGAAGGAGAGTCGCAAGTCGTCACTCGTTTTGTAGCGCTTATAAGATACAGATGTACCGCTTGTTAGTTGTTAGCGGTCAATAGCAAGTGTTGAGTGTATAAAATCAATCTATTGACAAAGAAATAAAACTTTTAAAACCATGGGTGGTAAGTTGAATTCTTATTTATGTATCTTATTTTTTTTTTTTTTACGTATTTTGTTTAAAAGTTACATTCATTGAGAATTCATTTAGGATCTGTGATAACGTCGCCGGTAACCGGTCTTGACCTAATGACCTTCATATGAATTACATCTTCCATAGAGAATGTACAATAACCTCTTAATGCATAAAAACGTGCGCATTTAGATTTTATTGTAATTATGTAAATTATTGTTTACATTCAAAAAAAACTATTCTTTTATAATATCTGTCTAACAACTTAAATTACATTTATTTCATTTTGATTTATTTCACAAAAATCGGTCCAATTCGCGCTCAGCTTTACAATGTTTTCTTTATACGCATGCGTGAATTTTTTTCTTTTTCTAATAGAAACTTGGCGCGAATTTGATATTCTGTACTTTATAATTTTTTTATTATTTATTTTAAAGTTGATTATATGTATAAATTATCATTTTTTTTTAATAAAGAATATAATTATGTTTTTACATGAGCATAATTAAACAAATATGTGTGTCATTTTTAAAATTTAAAGTATAAACTTTAAATTATAATATTTCAATATTTTAATAAAAGAAACATTTTTTTATATATATAATTAATTTATATATTATATTAATATCACATAAAAATTATATTTTAAGTTATAAAAGATTATATTTAAATACACATTGCATCAACTTAAAATGTGAAATATAAATATTTATAAAGATTTTATTCTTTATGTGTATTCGTTTTTTATTATTTTTCATTATAAAAATAAGATCTTTTGCATAAAATAAGATAAGTGTTGGATTCCTACTAGTTTATTCTTAGCAGTCGGAGGGAGAAATTACGGCTCTTTGCCAAATCTCGTCTCTCTTCATATTTATTTTGAACCTAATGAAATTTTTTCGACTTAGTAAAAAAATCTATTTTTTTCTATTAATATTATTCTATATATGTGTGTGTGTGTATATATATATGTGTATTACATTATATATTATATATCTATATCTAATATATTTATATATTTATTTAAAAAAATAAGATGTTATTTTTTGCGTTTCATTATGTTCAGTTTAGTATAAATATTTATTTTTAGTTTTAATACTTTTTTTTTGTACTAGAATAGAAGATTTCAGTAACTAATGATTACTTAATATTAATACATTTATCGATCGACGCGTTATGATGACGTAATCCACAAGTTATGATATGTGCTTAAGGAATCTACATTTGAATAAAAAAAGAATAAAAAAAATTTAGCATCAAATTTTTTTTTGATTTTTTTTATTTAAAATTTTAGTTTTATGAAATGTATTAAAATACAATTTTTAGAAAAAAAGCATTACGTATGAAGAAACATCATTATAAAAACTTAAAAATAGAACAAAAGTTTAAATCGTTAAGTTCATTGTACTATGATCGACACGAAATAGTCGTACACTATTTTTATACACATAGATTCAATCTTGACCTTTGTCTAGAGTGGACGGAATTCTAGATTACAATGTTCGTCTAGAGTTTAAATGCATCTTATGATTTGTAATCGTATTTTTTATAGAATGAATTTCTAGTTAAATGCAAATCTCCTTTTTTTTTATCTTTAATTCTATGTATCGTTTGATCAAAATGTTCTTCACGAAATACACAATGACATTTAGAGGTATTTTTTAATAATATTTGAAAAAAAGAAAAAAAATAAAAGTATGATTTGACAAAATTAAATTTATTATGAATATGAAATTATTGAAAAAATTAATTATATAATTTAAAATAGTAATTATCTAAATTGAACTTAATAAAAATCATTTTTCGAGTCTATACATTCTATATATTTTTGATAATCTGATTATATGATCATTGAATTGAATTTTTTTATTATTAAAAATTCCTATAATTATATAAATTTTATATTATAAAATTTTAATTAAACATAATATATCTTGATATTTCTAAAATAATTTAAATTTTTTTGTTCAATTACTCTTTTTTTTAAATTTCTATTAACTTTCACTATTTTCTTTTATTTATTTTTTACAAGTTACATATAAAATTTTTTTATATCATCCATTTTCTATAAATATACATCTACTAAATCAAAAAGCTTTTCATAAAAATTTTTCGATATCTGTATTTACTAATCTGTATTTATTAGACAATGATTAATTCAACAATTTAAATTTAATTCATTTCACAAATTTTTTTTCTAATTATAGAATTTCACAACAATTCACAGATAAATTCATAAAATTAAATTCAAATAATGGATATTAATGATCAAATTCTATCCAATAAATCAATTCAGTAAATTAATTTTCATAATTTTATTTGTAAATTATATTTTTTTCGTTAAATTTTTCATTAAAACAAAACAAGATAGAGATTAGAAAGTTTGAATGTAAACTAATTTTAGAATTCTAAAAATTTCCAAAAAAAAATTTTAAATAATTTTAAATAATTTTAAATTCTCAGAAGTATTCAATCAAAAAAATTTGATCTCTAATATCGTAATACATATAATTCGAAAAAATATGAAAAATTTATGAATAAATATTCATAATTAAAAGAACTATGTAATCGAGAAAATTACATCTTATGAACATCATATCAAGATAAGCGTAATAATGGATTATTTGATTCGTAGAAAAGCACGCGGGAGAAAGTGTCGATTCGTAGACATATATCTGAAGTATGATTGTATAAGGAAATCTGGTCAGACCTAAGAGACAAGTGCTTGACCTAAGGCAAGCTATATGAATGCATTTTGTACAAACGCGAGGCTGGGTTGCTATTATAAGCTGGCCAGCTTGTATAAATATAAACCTGTGTGGCACAACGACGCCGGCACTCTGCCTCTCGGGTTTCGTCTGCGTATTACAATATGCGAGAAGCCGAGCACTACCTTTCTCATACTCAAGATAAATGTTTTTTACCTTGCAATAATGTCGACACATCAGAAATAAATAAAGAATCATCATTGCCAAATTCAAGGAAAGTCAGAAGCTTTGAGATTAACATGCATCAATCATCAACTATCTTAGATTTATATATAATTACGAAATAAATATAACAAATTATAAGAATTTTTTCACAGGATATTGTTAAAAAAAATGAATTTAATTTTTATATTTATTATATTGTAACTTGAATCAAATTTATTTATTCTTGATCAAATAATATAATTAATAATAAAAATATTAAGTTAATATGCATTAGTAATACACTTGATGTTTATAAGTATTGTGTAAAAATAGTAAATGAATATTAGAAATGACAAAAATATTCAATATAATATTTTTATTTAATATTAAAGATTTGTTTTGTAATATTAAGTAATTAATATAATTACATTATTAATAATTATTAAAAATATCATTAATAATTATTTATAAATCTATATAATATATATATATATTTATAAATCTATATAATAATATACTATATTTTATATTATAGATAAATTTACTGAGAATTATAATAATGATTTAAATAACATTCAATTTTTAAAAGTTTTTTATTATTAATTTTGATTTGAATTTTATAATGATTTATATATATATATATATATATATATAAAA